GAGCTCGCAACATTTGCCAATTCTCACTGTCGTGTCGGCGCTGGCGGGTCGCGTCTCGGCGTCGGCGAACACGTTCCTCGTCTCCCAAGCAACGATGAGCAGCAACACGATCCTTGGATACATGACGCCGAAACGCGCGCGGGTCTTTTCCTTAAGTTTGCATTCGCGGGGACTCGTTTGCACACACGTTCTTTCGCTTCCTCGCCGTCAAAAGTAAAGTAGAGTTACTGCCGCGTCCGTGTAGCCGATCGATCGTTTCATGAAGCGTTCATCCGTGATTCACTCAACTCATCGTGACGCATATCGTGCTTGCTTCGCCATACCTGGCTTCACCGCCAGTGCCTCTCGTTCCGCGGTTGGTTACTTACCTAGCTACCCCTGCCAGCGTCCGCCGCCATGACATTCCCGTTCTTCGCTGCATTGTACCTCCCTAGCCCCTCTGCGTCCCTCGACGGCCTCGACGGCCACAAGCGAGTTTACCTTCATTCCAGCTGCTCCAAAGACACAACGGCGCGCGTCAGCGCTGCGTTCACACGCGCCTTTGTGCGCTCCGTTTTCACTTTCGATGATACAATCTGAATTCTTGAATGTCTTAATTTTTAAAAAAATTCATAATATTGTGTAATAATCGTTATTTTGTCCTTTCTGTCTGTAAGATACACGCTTTTTCTTGTCATTTTGTTTTTTTTTTATCAGATTTATCATGGAGGAATTAATGTGCTTTCATTATATAGTTTTATACATAAAAAAATTTAATATATCTATTCTATTCTACACTCAGAGAAAAAGTAACTACAAAGGTCACACCTATAAGTATGTTTTTCTTTGAGTGAACTCTCACATTTATTATGAGATATATTTATTGAATATATAGAAGTACTAAATGAGACTTTTTTTAAACATGTGAGGCATTTGATATTTGATATAACAATTGGATATGTATCTATTTTATGTGTGCTTAAATTTAAACCCATACAAGTGTATTTGTCTGTCATCAGTGAGACAATATTAGTAATTTGAATCTCCGTTGAAAACGTCAAAGAATTATCGATAGCTATATCAATAAATAAATCACATATAGCACTAAATTATCGGATTTATTAAAAGAACTTTATTTATTAATGTAAGAACTGTTTAAGAAAGGGACAAGTCGTTTTAATCAGACTGATATTTGTCTTATCAGACAATATTGATTACTCGGAAAAATTACTCAAAACTTATATATTTTTTTAAACGATCTTATCTTATGAGATTATCCTTATCGAAATTATCATCACATTTAGCCTTTGGCATTGTCGATATAAAAGGGATTTCTCTCCGCGATACAAATCTTAATCTTATCTGTCAGAATTATCACAAGGTGAATTAGACAAAATACAAAGCATGACAAGAATATGATATTTCTCGCGAATACTGTCATAAGTATTAACGTATATAAGTTTGTGGTATTTGCATGAATTCGCAAATACGCAATCGCGCTCTTCGGCATCTTTTTCCTGTTTTCTTCTCGTTCCATCTTTGTATTATTGATTCGCTACTTGTTCTTTGAACGTCAATATGAAACCGCAATGGGGTACATAAAATACGTCATATATTCATATATTCTGAGGAAACATTGTATCACGGTCAAATGTTATACATGTGTATACCTATATATATTTAGAACTCAAATTAAAAAATGTCTTCAGTTTTCTTGGCGAGATGTTTGTATTATCACGTGAATGAAAATTAAGTATGCTGGAATATAAATGAAATCCAAATAAAAAGTATCCATTATCTAAATGCTATATTGTCTATTATCAACACTTATTCTTATTTGACACTTAAAGAAAGGATTTCACGAAATTCCTTGTGGGGTTTGTCGATTTAACAATGCTAAAAATAGATAGACCAATAATGATTCTTCTCAGAAAGATAAATAAGATCTTCCGGACTGTGAGTCTCAGTAATTTATACTGGCTTCTCCCCTTCTTGTCAGTCCACTCTCTTTACGGTCATTCTCAAGACGCACGCAGTGTGCGCTAACATGCTCTATTTACGCTTTCAATGAATTATATATGACAACGGCGCATCTCTCGCTTCTCTTTCGTTTCGTTGAACAATCGAGTCATTGTAAACTCACATATCAAGTGATATATATATTTACTTACGAGCCACTTACATAAAGAGACAATAACTGCATCTATCTATAGATTATTTTTTTTCTTTTCCCTTTTTCTCTCTAATTTTTTATAATTCACCTTTTGTTCAAATGGTCGTTCAATTACACACTCGTTCATTAATCACAGACACGTTATTTTATTATTGAGTCATTTTTATATAATTATAAAAACGAAGAAAAAAGCATAGACACGAAATTCTAACTATATCGAATGCATCTTTCTTCGCATAACGGCATGAATCAGTATTTCAAAGTCCAGTATAATATTTATCTTTTTAAAGCTGAAAATTATGAAAGCTTTAATAGGAATTATCATTTAATAAAAATTTTCTTTCTACGTAGCTTTGATAGAAATTTTTATCGTGAAAGAATTGCGTTTAAATAGCAATATCTATTGTGTATTTATAGACTGAGAAACAATATATGACACTTCTGCACGTTAACAAACATTTCATGAAAAATTTTTGTATTGTATCTTGCTTAGTTGAATGGTTGCATTCAATGACATCGATTGTCTCGGAATAATCTAATTTGCTTAACAAATTTCGTTTGTGTTGTTGGTACTAAGCATCTGTTTTAGTAGCAACAAGAATGCACCACACGAATCAGGTTTGTTGTACGCGGCATTATTTGATACATTTATAATGCTCTATTGGCGAAATGCAACACACATGCTTGCACAGGATATGGGACCACTTTTTATCCATGAATTCTTTAATCGATATAACATGGATATTGTTTAAATTAAGAGAATATGAATAATTGTTAATTAATTAAGAGAAATAAATCCACTTTCAGTGAAAGCAAATCTTGATATTTAAATATTCAGAGTGAATTTATATATCTGAGAAAAAAATGTTGTTGATTCAATTAAAGTCTATATTACAGGCTGTCACTAACATAAGTAATTAATTCATGTATATTTTTATTGACATAAAGGCCTTGATTATTGAAATAATAATTTATGCCTTTATGTCAATAAAAATATACATGAATTAATCACTTATTATGTTAGTGACAGCCCGGTAATATAGACTTTAATTGAATCAACAGCATTTTTTTCTCAGTGTACATATCCAATTCTGCAAACTGCGCACCGAAATCATTTTCGGTCTTGAAATGCTATCAGAACAGAGTAGTAATATCACGTATTAAATTGGTAAGCAATTTACTAATTTTTAATGCCACAAGTTATCCTTGACATTTTTAGTTTATTAAAGGATCAGCTTCGAACTAGTCAAAGAATCCACAAGTAAAGACCCTCTGAATCTGGCACGCTCTATACAATTTAAATTAATGAACGTATGTCGAAATGAATGACGCGCGGAATTAATGGAAGTGGGACAAGCGCACAGTTGTGTGTTTACAATATATTTAATGTGCCTGCGGCGACAATTTTAACAAACCTGTTGTCTAAACTTATTCACTGCGTGAATCAGATTTTTAGTAAGAGATACCCTGAATTGATGCGCACATGTTATGCTAATATACGCGAAGCTATTGTCTCGCCCACGTACGGTGAAAGTGTCCAGTTGCCTTCGGACTCGGAATACAAGCGACTTTTACATCGCAACTTATTATTGCTCACGATTACTTTGATAGCTTATGATAGCTTATGCCTTAATGTTCCACTGTTAGAGATTCGTTAAAATCATGATTGGATTCACTTGCGCAATGTTTTCACCGCACGCGAGATATCTCGTGTTGAAGATTCACGCGATACGTCATGCATAGTACTCGCGATTGTGGTTGATAGTGAGTTGGTAGTGGAGGTGAAACAACGAGTGAATGAGTCGGATTTACGCATTTTCGTAGGAAAACGTAGGAATGTGGGAATGAATGACGTTGTCGTCACGTTTCCGTGAGTGATTTAAACGAGAAACTGTAATTGAATCACGAGCGTGAAATGATATTATACACTGATGAGTAATTATCCTTCGTTATATTCTTTCCATGAGTTTTGCTCCACACACATACAGTAATTCGGTCCAACATTTACATAACGTTTACGGAGATTCTTATACAGTGTTTAATAATAATATATTCCATTACACTAGCTGTGAAAACAACACGTTTCACGACAATCGCATTTAAAACATACATTTGTATTACCTAACTCATTGTCACAGACAAATGTCGAATTTTATGTCGCTCTTATACTAGCGCTATATGAATAAAAGAATAGATGATAATAACGTATGTTAACAAGAGATAAAGTAATATTGTCAGTTATAAACTAAGCCACGAGTAATAATGGATTATCATAATTGAGACTATGTGAATATTCACATGTCTAATGAAAATATTTAGAAAATAAAATGTAACTACAAATGAATTATTTATAGAATTAAATTAATTAAAAATTTGACAATAGTCGCATTATCTATGTCCAATTGTATTAGGTATGGGAATAAGTTTCCGCCCATTAGAGAGATGTCGTTAGTAGCACTGCTTGTGTGTTTGATAAAACGGCAATACATGTATTTGAAAGGTGTGTGTTCAAGCTTTTGAGCCTAGTAGTTGATATTCATTCGAAGCGATTTGTTTGAACTAAGCTTTGAAACAAAAACAATAGGAATGGGACAATAGGCACGATAAGCTGATTCTGCTACGTGACAACGCTATGTATGTCGGCCCTTTCTGGAGAGCGATTCAATTCTTATGAAAATATCAAAAAATGGCTTGATAAATGGATCGCTTCAAAAGAACCAGATTTCTTCCTTCGAGGAATCTGTTTATTACCTGAAAGGTGGGGGAAAGTTGTCGCTTCTGATGGAGCATACTTTGAATGAACTTACTTTGTATTATTTTGTTTAAATAAATACATCTTTTTCATTAAAAAAAGGACGGAAACTTATTCCCATATCCAATAGATAATTTACAAATAAATCATTGGATTGTCTTTCTGTAGGCAATATTTCTCACATTTAACCCGCGTCATGATTCTGAAAAAAAAATCAGAGTGCCTTAGCCTTGTTGAGATAGCTCGAGCTCCTCGGGAAGTACCGCTTCGCACTCCTCGTCTTCGTATGCGGCCCAGGATTTTGGGAAAGCGATACCGCACAGTCGCTTCTTCGCCAATAATTTTCGCACCCTTTTCCGCGTCGCAACGAGAAGCAGGAATATGATGAATCCTTGCAGACCGTTCAACAGATCCGTCGGTATCCTAACGAAAAAGAACGCTTATGGATGATTTTACTAGTAATTGATAGACATTGATGCAGAGACAGGATGTTTTAACGATTGCTTACCAGAACTCATCCATTCTCGATCCAATAGCGAATGATAACAATTCAAAGATCCAGGTAATACCCATGACGAGCACCAATTTAATATATAGCAGGCACTTAAATCGCATGATTCGCAACTTGCTTCCCGTGTACTCGCGATATTGATGCCACAAACGCCAGCTGGTCATTCCAAGATAGAGCATGTTTAATATTAACAAAACAGCGACCGGCCCGTAAAAGTACGCCCACGTCTCTGTAGCGCCTGTGAAGTAATAGACACGAAATAATCACATTTCATCCTACATCAGAAGAACTGATGAACGACGTTTAAACTGCTAAGTAGGTGCACTGGCAAAATTACACAGTGATTGAAGTGGCTTTGGAGCTTCCAACAGAAGAAAAAGTGGCTTTGATGCACCTACTTAAGGGTTGAATCATATTTCAACAATGTTGAAGCAGCAAAGTCACCTGCTGAATTTTTTTAAATCAGAAATAGGAATATTTCTTCGAAACTTACCGCTAAACCAACAGGTATATTCGCCAAAACCAGGTCGCAAGTGATTTCCGGACATATGGTGTGTCGTCAGTGCGGCGATCAAGAAACACATTGGACCGCCCCATCCCCACACGCAATAAGCGTAGAAAAGCGATTGTTCCTTTATCTTGAAGCTCTTAAACCTGTACAGATTATTAAATTTTAAAGGTATATGCGAACTGTAAAATATCTATTATTTTTTAAAGACGACTGTTACAATGTTTCATGTAACGGTGTTTCTCAGATGATTTATTCGCTTAGCACTTACCACACGCATCGCCATACGTTGAAGGCCACGATGTTCAGCCAGAAAAACGCAGACATGAAGGCGAAATATAATATAAATCCTAAAATGCAGATGTATGGATTGGATAACAATAAAAAATCAAAAGGACGAGAATTGAAGCAAAAGATGAATGAGAGACTATTTTTACCAGGCAATTTTTAAAAATATTTTTATGTCCAAGTTTGTGATAAATTTCTTTATATCACAATTCAATAATTATATTCATATAATTAGATGTATAATTATATATATATATACCGAGAGAAACACAGATGATATAATCATCGTCGTCCATATTCGGTCGTAAGTGTTGAATGGAGAGGACGGTGTAGCTGACCGCCAGAGTTGTGACAGCGGCCATCATCGCCTTGTCCTGCAGCTCTCGCAATTCCGGCAAAATAACATAAATCGCCAGAGTGGCGATCAGAAAGATCGCCGAAATGATGCTGACGACACAGATCAGCATGTTCTTCCACATCTTCGACACGCCATCATCTATCAGCTCATGCTCAAAGCACACCAGGGCAATCTCGCTACCATTCTGCACCGATTTGGCTACGCAGAATCTAATGAATAAAAGGATCCATTACATAAAAATCGCAGCCGTGAACTAGGCACGGATACTTGTCCATCCATTATAGATTATTTGAACACAACACTGCGTAGGACTATTGCACAATAATAACTTGTCATAATAAAGCATCGAGATACTACGTGAGCTCAGAAAATTTCTGAATACCAGGATTTTCCTCAACATTCAGTTGTGTGTGTGTGTGAGTGTGTGTGTGTGTGTGTGTGTGTGTGCGCGCGCGCGCGCGCGCGCGTGTGTGTGTGTGTGTGTGTTTCTTTCTCTCTCTTTTTCTATTTCTTCTTCCGTGTATGATAAATTAGTTCTTCACAGATAAACGCAATCGGTAAATAAACTCACGCCATAGTTGCGGAGATTCTACCTGTCAAGCGGGATTTTCTCATAGTCGATGTCTGGCAGTAACCAAGCGGTGCCCTCCTCATAGATAACAGTAAAGTTGTCATGTTTGCTCTGCTGAGGATCCATCAGGAAGATGCTCGAACAGTCTAGACGGATTTTTGTGCCGTCAGAGCAATTGGACGTACGTTGCCATATCGTTCCCTCTGGACAGCATGATACGTTAACGGATAAACTCGGGGAGATCAAACTCGCGAACAGGCAGAACCACAGCAACCAGAGACCTGTAAAACGTCGCATTTTGATTGTTCAGGCGCAGATGCAACATGCAGTCGACTCAACTCTTCTGTGAAGAGACACGCTTGCCAAGAAGATGTAGCTTAAAATACACTGTTATGTACAGTTCAGCAATAAGAAATGACATTTACAAATGCGAAACTGTGACAAAGAATTTTTTTTTTCCAGGTCAATTTCTTGGAAAGATAACAATATTTGTCCAATAACAATCTTATTATTGTAAATGCTTTCGTATATGCGAAGGTATTTTTTTAAGCATGATCTCTTCTACGAGATATCTTATTTCTATAATATTGCACGTTAATGACGGGTTTAGTATACTAAGATAATATTTTTTAATAGCGCTCCTAAATGCAACGTATTGCGCGTTCTAACACAAAATACGTAACGCGTGAGTTTCCGCATGCGTCACACAAGGGTCGGCCTGATATCAAAACATTTTTTTATCGGTGATACTAGACCCGGTGTTATCACATGAGTTATCCGGGGGTTATAAGATTTTCAACGGAAAATAAAACGAGATTCTTTATAGATCGGGAAAATCGAGCTTGATACGACACTATACGTCCTGTGGCTCCGTTTGTGTATATCGACATCCTTCCTGAAGGAAACAAGATGAGAAACGAGCACATGATCCGATCCGGAGAATGCAGTAAGAGATGTAATGGAAAGAACGATAGAAATGGTACCGGTAACCCAGTTTAGTGCTAATGGCAGATGTACGATATGATACAATCGCTGCGAAAGAAGGAGGGACGGCACTCTTAACTGTTAACACTTTATTAACAGCGTTGGACTACATAGCACGTGCGTGCGTGTGTACCGGACGCATATGTGTACATTCTAAATTTCTTGCAGTGAAATCTTACTCCAAGAGAGTGAAAATGTTTCACCCTTAAAAAAAAATAAAAATATTTCTTCTTGAAAAAAGAGTCAAGATTGTCACTCTTTTTTAAGAAGTGAAATATTTTCACTTTTTTTCAAGAATGATTGTAAATTTTCACTTTGTTGGAGTGAGATTTTACTGTAAGAAATTTAGAGTGTCTGCAAGTATATCCTGTCACGATGTTTGATGGCGTTTTCATTTTTGATATTTTTTAGGGGTGTGCCATGCTGAAACGGCATGAAATTCAGAGAGCGCAAATTGATGTAGCGAATAATTTTCATTCTATTAAAATTACTGTGTATCATATCGTCGTATTGCAAAAAAATAAATACCGCATAAATTAAATACCGCGTAAATTTTTTATTATGTTAATGTCTTCATTATTATTATCGATATAATGTTAATCCTTTCACGAAATAAAAAGTATTATTTAATTTTGACAATATATATATATATATATATATTTATATTTTTTATTTATAATGATATATCTCGGTCTCGCAATCTCCGCCGGATATTATTTTTGCAAAACGACTTAGCGTCGTTAACGTATATATTCTTTTGCTTTCTCTCTCTACTATTTGAGTTTTCTGGTATGATCTTCTGACCCGATCATAACCGTCTCGCCACGATAAACATCGAGATTATAATTTTATGAACAAGATACTTCCTATATCGCAAATCATCAACAGAATCTATAAACGCGTTTTACAACACGTTTTAAGAGTAATAATCGTCGAATATTATTGTCATGTAACTTCTCGGAAAAACTTGATATTAAAAATAATTTTTACTTTTCAGTAAATCGTGAGATTAACTATTAGCACAGACGTCACCTCCTTGCCGCCAATGCGCCGCTGCAGGGACGACTTAATTAAAGCGATGTAAACGCCGTCCATGTTTAATTAGATACAATTGCCATATTACGTATAATGAGCGAGCGGAATAAACAATTGTCGCTTTTATGCCTCACGTGTTGTCCTTATCATATCGCGTATGTAAACATACGAAAAAAGGAAAAGTATTACATTGATAAATTTTCCGCTGCTCATAACTATAATAAAATTTATGTAAAACAAAAACGGGGACAATACAAGCGTGGGGTTTTTTACGATAGTGCAAGAATAAGTAACGGGTAAGATATTCGAATGAGGCTAACAATAAGACGCGTGACGTTCGTTCGCTTGAGATATTTTATTCCATTAACAGAAAACGCACACAAACGAAAGCTCTTGATAATCGAAACAGTTTGCTTAATGTACTCTATATCTCCACATCAAATTAGTTTTACGAAATATCACGATAAAGTATTAATCTCGTCATCTACATTTATTTATAGAGAAGGTTGCGACTTTTTCACAATAATGTACAGTGCGCTTATCTTGATATTAGTTCTTAACGACTCTAAGCGGATTTATGTTTTCCAAGTAACAACGAAATATTTCTCCCAAGACACACGTGCACGTATGATGTATGCATTAATATTGATTGCGAATTGATTATCTAGTAATAATTCTCTTTAGTACAGCCGTTTCCTTGTTCGGAAAACACTGACGATAGATTGCAATTGATTTTTTTATCGATAATCACGATATTTCTTATAATCATGCATTGTATAACGGTCCGGTTTTGATAATTGATAAATTAATTGAATATCGATTTCGAACGAGTGTTCTATCGCTAGGATTATATTAGCTGTAAACGAATGATTGCAATTCTATGTAGATGAATTTGCATTGTAGAACACCAATGAACTATATTTTATGATTTTACGTAAATACATTTTTTAATATATTCATATTAAAAAATGAAAATATATAACCCGCAATTAATAGAATAATAGATGCTGTTTATATTGGTGAACTAAAACAAAATTACACTTACATTTAGTAATGTGACTGGTTGATGAAATTAACTTCGTAAATAAAGCAAGCTGCACAATAAGTGTGAGTGCAAGTGTACAATAATTCGCAAATAACATTGCCTCTGTTTCAATTCGGAGAGATTCCGGCTTCATGTGCACGTTTGTCAATAACTGCAATATTAGCACTCGTGTCTAAGATAAACAATTTTCGTCCAATATCACCCGACCTTCCCCTAAGTTTCTGATGATGAAGTAAATGACAGAAAACAACATGATCACGAGACGCGTGTTTATAAAATAAGGAGAATAAATGATTATTTAAATCATAAAATGCGAAGCATGAATGATTTTTGAATATTTAATCCTACTTGACGAAACTACGATATTTTAGATGAGAAGAAAACTTTAGAATGTGTGTGTGTGATCTTTTTCACGCTGGAAGATTTTCATAGCGAAGCTTTAAAGAATGGAATATAACTATTTATGTAACAAATTCGAAGCGGAAAATGATTTTGCAATGACAGTTTAATTAATTTATGATCAACTTGATTAGCTTGATGATCGATGCAGAGAAAACCGGTTTACAGGAGGTTTCTGTGAAAACATCGTGCAAGGAGTAGAGTTAGACGCATAAAGACGAGGAAGCGGACACTCAAGTTTAGTTTACGAAGCTGACCTCTGATTGATGACGTGCTCAGCTGCCTGCCATAAATCACGTCGGACAACGACATCATCTCGCTCTCGTTACCGCATTTCCTGATTCCTCGATGTACAAAGCGAGTCTGCTTCTCGCCGATATAGATAGCTAAGTTGGGCGACGCCAAAGAAGCTGTCGGCAACGCGAACTTCAAAATGTTCTCCAAGGGAAGAATCACTTGTTTGGCGCGACACACACGACTAGGGTCAACGGACTGGCAGGCCACACTGGCGTTTGTCACGGAAGAAACGATTGCGTTTGCTTTCTGTAGTTCTTATGAAAAATTCCTCAGCAATTGAATGACAAGATCCACGATTTCGATACTACTGATTGCTTCTGTCGCGATTTTCCGCAAATACCTTCCTGTCAACGTGCTTCTTCCTTCCTCCCTTAAGTTGCTACAAACGTGAGAAGCATGAGAAGAAGATTCCAACGACCTTATCGGCTTCTTATCACTCGACCTTCGCTTTTACTCGAAAACTGATGAAAAAGGTAGTTTCCTATTTGCTCAGAATGATCCAGACAGGATGCATGCACGTTATCGAAATCACGAGAAAAGCCCTCGACGCGTGTCACGTGCTTTTACAGAGAAGTCTACGTGTTTTGATGGCCGATACGGTTGGATCCTGATAAGCGATTGGAGTAATGAGTCGCGTTGGAGCTCACGTTGTTGCGCTGCGAGCGAAACTGAACGTGACGGTAGACTGTTCTCCGGAGCTTACCAACGATGTGGAGACGGTTGAGATAGCGCCAATCCTCTCCCACTTTTGAATGGACTCGTGCAGTGTGACCAAGCTGCGTATTTGTTTCTTTTCCTTTCCAGCCTTTTTCCTCACGTAGAACCTTTCGACTCCCTCGAGGACATTGGCTAGATCAAAACAATGATTCGCTGATACGTCAGATTTCTTTTCAAGTGCGTTGATTCGCAAATACGGATGCGATCGTGAAAGCTGTTGAGGAAGGGATGATACGAGAAAGAAAATATGCTGTAAAAAGATACACATCTAATTAATTAAGAAGAGAGGAAAAGGAATTGTGGGCATTGCGTGGTATCGTAGTGTTTACGAACGTCACGCTGCATGATTATTCTGGTAGAGAAACGTGTTGGAAAAGTGTAATACCGTTATGCATTCAATATCTTTTTTATACACAGAAATTAAAATGCTGATGATACATGCACCCGTAAACGCACATGCATCCGTGAACTACTCTGAAAGTTTATCTTCTGAGCTATTGTATTATACGCACATGCGAACGAAGGCCGCGGTGAAACGATAGGAAATTCTGATAATTACGATGATTAATTACTATTCATATACTACTCATTAACGTTCAGTACGATACTTCCTTTAAACTGCGGTCGGTTAATCGCATTCGAAGAGTCGTTTGATATCTGGAACATGCAAACGAGTAACGAACCATATTAATTGGCACGCTCGTGGCTTATTAAGCATACTATTAGGTGAATTGATTAATCTATCAATCTTGAAAGTTGTTCAAAGAATATGATAGATGCTATTACTTATAATGTAATGGGAAATACCTAAAATCTATTAAGAGAGAGAGAGAGAGATATTAAAAACCTTATATATACAATAATAATAATTATATATAATGTTTAATAAATTTATAAATGTAATAAGTCATTATTATTATATGTTACATATAATAATAATTTTGTGTGTGTGTGTGTGTGTGTGTGTGTGTGTGTGTGTAATAATACATTTCGTACGTAAACAATAGAAAATATAGGGTGTTTTAAATGAGAACTGTGTATCTTCAGAACTTCTCAGATAGAGTCTTAAATCCATCTTCTTAAAAATATAAAGCAAATATGTAGTCTACATTTTTTTATAAAGTTACAAATTTAAAAAGATTAAAAATATTTTTTAAACTATGAATGAAATGTATGGGAAATAAACATTCATTCTTCGTCAAAGGAAATTTAAATTTCTCTGGAGGATAGAAGAGGAGGAAACCTCTCCGTCGCGAGAAAAACGATTAACGTGCCTACGGCCAGTCCTTTCGTCGACTATGACGTCAAAGTACGATTATAAATACAACGATTCTGTTGATTCTGATTTTATATCACATATAGGAATAGCCATGTATCTCCATAAAACGAAAACCATACTCTTCTCGTAACTTATCTTATCCTTATTGTTATGGATTTTCGATTTACTAAGGGTCCAGTATTTAATTTGAATTAAGGGTCCAATAGTTGTTTTCTTGAGGATAAAGGAAGCATTACTTTTTTCTTTAATGTGCTCACGAAATATACCAAGAAAAGATATGCTATAATGTACGCTCGATCGTACCAGATCGAGCAGATCGAGTACAAACAATAATCGGAATTAATCCGACAAAGTTGAGAAAATAATAAGTCTTTTTGGCAAAAATTTGATTTAACACACTATAAACTAAAATATAAACTACAAAAACATTAAATCTTTTAAATTAGAACTATTGATAAATTTTATTAAGCATTTAGCAGCATTAATATTTAATTTAGCAATAATATAGTTTAATGAAAGGGAGAAAACAAGTTAAATAAAAAATGAAGGGTTTAATTAGCTCCCTCCTTTATAACGCTATAAGGCTTGATTATCTTTACTTCGCTTTTAATTGCAGCTTTTAGAAATGCTCAAGTTCTATGCCCGTTTCGAGATCAGCGAGGAAACTGGCAATCCCTTGACGGATCACGACATGACGGAGTTGCATTACACTAAAATTACGTCTCTACAGGTACATAAGAATTTCCATCACTATTTAAAAAATGATTTTGTATACGCGAATAATTTTTTAAATATGTAAAATAATAAGCAAATCCTTGATTTTTATATCATGTATGTATTTTACTTTTAACAAGTTGTGTGATTTTTCCAAACCGGTTGTTGATGTACTATCGTAAAACAAGAATTTTAATTATGATTAATCCTATTAGTTGCGTCATCAATACTGATATGCATGGATATTATATACAATAAATGCTTGAAATCTTGAGATTAACATTATTAACTTTTATTACTCTATAGAATGCGGTTTTTGCGAAATTTCCGGATCTAAGAAGCTTCGCATTGGCTAACGTAGCCAGTGTCGACGTCAGAGATGCTTTGTATAAACATTTTGGTTCACTCAGGTAAGTTTTGCATTTAATAAGATTATCCTAAAAAATACGTAAGGTATTAACTTTGAAAATAATATTGCGAAATAATTTATTAGAAGAGAATAATTATATTGATGTATAAAATCATGTGAAGCACTAGCTTCGTTGAATCGTTACAAATAATTTTTTTTTTCAGTCAAGAAAAATTGAGATCTATCGCGAGTTACTTGAATTTAGTACCGCCCACGGAGCGAGAAAAGGACGAGAATTGGTATCGCCTGGATATAGACTTTTTGCGTGAATTGCTGGTGGGTGTAAAAAAAAAGAAATATTGAGAGACCGCGAGAGATTTTATCCAGCAGGGCCAGTCTGAATTCAGAGAGCATGCATTTTAATTTCAGATATCGCGACACGAGCGTAGGCGATCGCAGCTTGAAGAGTTGAATGAGATGCCCCTTTATCCGACCGAGAACATCATATGGAACGAGAGCATCGTCCCGACTGAATATTTTTCTGGCGAGGGCTGTCTGGCTTTGCCAAAATTGAACTTGCAGTTCCTCACGTTGCACGATTATCTTCTACGAAACTTTAATTTATTCCGTTTAGAATCTACATGTACGTATAAAAAAAGTAAAAAAAAATGGAAACGGCGTTATTCATTGTTGTTTCTAAATTTATGATTAAATACATATATCAGTCATTAAATATTATCGTTGTTTGCAGACGAGATACGACAAGACATTGAGGATGCCGTGAGCAGACTGAGTCCTTGGTACGTTAAATCAACGTGTTACCTTCTCTTTTCGCAAAAGTAAAAGTAATAATATTTCTTCTTTCTTCACTTGTAGGCGGGCAGAGGACGGCGGTGTCTACTTTGGTGGATGGGCCAGAATGGCACAACCTATTACGCAATTTGCGGTGGTCGAGGTGGCTAAGCCTAATGTCGGCGAAAACAGGCCATCGAGAGTTCGTGCCGATGTGACCATAAATCTTAGCGTTCGTAAGGAAATTAAATCCGAATGGGAAAATCTTCGTAAGCACGACGTGTGCTTTCTTATCACAGTTAAGCCGCCGAATCCTATCGGTAAGTTAAGATGGATATTAAAAAGAATAATTTGAAACTGTTTTATAAATAAGAATCAATTACCTACAGAAAAATATGCTGACATACATAATATATTAATAATGTGTAATGTTAATTAATGACTTGCTATAATAATAGATAAATTAATTATCTTATTATAAAAAAAAACTATCATAATTGCAAAATGTATTTGTAAAGATAAATTATTTCGTTAGAAAAACAGTAAAGATTTTTCCATTTTATTACCAATAAAACACGTTTTATTACTATCAAATAACGATTATGTCAGCGAAGCTTAGTCGCTTTCGTACACAGTAACAGTACTGATTTTGCTTCAACAATAAAATTTTTTTTATTATAATAGCCCCGTATAATAATAATAATATAGATCAGAATTCTCAGATAATTGTCGTATTGTCGCAGGTACTAAATACAGTCATAAACTCCCCTTCGTGCCACAAGTGGGTTTAACGACGGTGCGAGGATGCGAAGTCGAGGGTATGCTCGACTCGAACGGTAGAGTGATAGAGGATGGCCCTGAACCGAGGCCGATTTTGCCGGGTGATTCGCGCACTTATAGAGTGTGGCTGGACTGTAATCAATATCGAATCGATATGGACAACGCTAGTCATGGCGGTGAAGACGTATACGAGGGATTTAATATCATAATGAGGCGTAAACCTAAGGAGAACAACTTCAAAGCTGTGTTAGAGACTATAAGGGAGCTCATGAATACTGAATGCGTTGTGCCCGATTGGTTGCACGACATAATCCTTGGATACGGCGATCCGGGTGCAGCATGCTATTCTAGGTAATCTCTATCTATTATCTATCTCTATACATACCAATAATAAAGCTAATAGTGTATTTCTTGTTTGATTGCTTGGAACGGCATCGATTGTAAACGGATGAACAAATCTGTCTAAGATTTTAATAGATATATTCCTTTTATAATTTAGTAGATATATTCTTCTGTAATTATACTCTTCTGCAGTTATTCCGTCAGTATCTTCCAAGTAATAATTATTTATCTTAATTATTTGTTTGAAAAATAAATTAACATTTTTGTAATAGTTTGCACAATTTATATTCGTAATAATCTAACAAAATTTATTAAATCTGTAATCTTTATAATTGAACACTAAAAAATGTTTGATGCAATAGAATGCCAGATGAAATTGCAACGATAGACTTCAACGATACGTTCCTCGATATCGATCATCTACGAGCCAGTTTTCCTCAGTACGAGACCAAAACGAATCCGGAGGACGAAGGAAATCTGGTGCGGCCGTTCCAGATAATTTTCGAGGATGTCCTCGCAAAGCACAACAATGATTCGATCAAGAAGGTTATTACAGTTAAACCACACGTGCCGCCCAGTAGAGGTCCATACAGAGCGAACGAACCGAAAAAGTATTCACTTTGTTTAGTATTCACTTTGTTGCGTAGTGTATTAATAGCATGTTGAAACGTGTTATTTTTTGAACGGAGAAAAACATATTGCTACGTTGCAGAAATCAGATTCCCTTTACGCCAACACAAGTCGAAGCTATACGAGCTGGAATGCAGCCAGGTCTAACGCTGGTCGTCGGCCCACCTGGTACCGGCAAAACGGACGTCGCTGTACAGATTATCTCGAATCTATATCACAATTTTCCCTATCAGAGAACGCTGATCGTAACACATTCCAATCAAGCGCTTAATCAATTGTTCGAGAAAATAATGGCCCT